AGAATATTCAACTACACCTGCGGGTACACAAATTGATTGGGCATTTTCAAACATGGATCCTCCATGTTAATGTAATTATTGAGACAGTATGTACACAGCTATCATGACAGTATTTGTGTCTCTATTTCGAACTAAAGTTTTCAGACTTAGTGCAATAGTTCTTCCTTTGTTTTCAAACATAATGGCACTTGAATGACGTAGCAATTTTGATAGCAGTTTTTAAGAAAAATGCAATAAAAGAAAATATATTATTATGTAGATGTTTTGATTTAAAAATCTAAATCCTTTATGTTATTTGTTGTTAAATAGATAGAGCTTAAAAAGTATAAGAACATGTTAAATATAATTTGGATAAATGTTTTAAATAAATATATATACCAATTTATATGTAAGAATAAGTTGTCCTGCCAATTTTCACAAAAAAAAACCAACCAGTAAACGTACACTGCTGTAACATTACATATATTTAAGAGACTTTTATTCACAAAATTCTGCACAAATAAAGATTTCACACCAAGAAAACTATAATTATTAATTTGGTTTTAATCAATAGTCATTAAATTTCGAGATATAGAACCAAGTTAACCAAGCTTGCACCGAAGCTATAATACCCTTCACGAATACAAAAGAAAGGTGAATTTCAGGAAGATATCTTGTCAAATAAAAAAGTTTTCCATGTAGAGATATGATTTTGATCGTTCAGTTTGTATGACAGCTATATGTTATAGTGGTCCGATATCGGCGTTTCCGGCACATGGGCAGCTTCTTGGAGATTAAAGGACGCCAAATTGCAGATCGATATGTCAAAAGCTAAGGAACAAGTTCGTGTATATACAGACAGAAATACGGATAGACGGACATGGATAAATCGACTCCGACTTTTCCTTCTTGGTGTTACAAACTTCATGGTAAATAAATCTTGTTCAGGACTCTTCCACATTCTATCAGTTGTTTTTAAGATTTATTGTTCTAACATTTTAGAATTCGTTTAATACAGCAGTTGATGTAAGTAGACGAATATTGGAAAAACCTTATTTATATAATTTTTTATTTATTTATTAAAATCTAAATCAGCTTTCTAACTGACAAATTTATAATTTCTGTGTTATCACTAAAATTTTTTTTTAAATAAAAACATAAATAATAATATACGTACATACATACGTACATATATATAAACGAGATTCGTTCGAGAGAATAGAAAAAGTATACTTAGAATATGAGAAGTAATGAAAGACAGTTTCGATATTGCGCACTATTATGAACCAAATTAATTCAAAGAAGCTACTAGTGGAAACGTGGAATATTATATAAAGGTTGCTGAAGTATAAGTATGTTAAAACGAAATCATTCCAAGAGAGAAGGATAATCAGATGATCGCAACATGTTGCATAGAGTATAAATTTTCTTTCACCAAACGGTGGTTTGCACTCCTAAAACTAATCGAGTTATATGTATATATCAAAATGATCAGAATTAGATGAATAATTGGTTTTCGGATTGTAAAGCATTTCCTTGAACATGTTACAGACTTGGCTCTAACCTCCATGTACTAATAAAAATTAAATCCCCTTCTCTCCGTTTCCAGTCCAACAGTCTCCGACAGTCGGATCTACGTAACCGGAACGGATCCGGATTTTTATCCAGCCAAAGACGTCAACTTCCTCCGAATTACACCAGGGATGTTGTTTACTGCTACAACAACAACAACATATCCCTTATTCAGGTTGACCTTATGTCGAAGATTAATATGTGAGATATTTTGATTGTATTAAGTGAATATATCATTTTAGACATAATGTGGTTCTAAAAATTTATAAAATCCGCCCATTTACTCCCCTAACTCCCATATATACAATATAGGGATGTTCGTCTTTCTGGTTGAATTGAATCGATTAACAATTTCGTCTCTTGAATTTATATGGAACATTTTCATTATACCTACAGCTTTCCTGGTACCTGAAAATGTTTTTACGCATTTAATTCTGAAAATTAAGTATATGATGTTCGCCTGTACCTGAACTAAGCCCTTCTTTAGTTGTCATTTAATGAAGTAATTATATAAAGTAACTGATAATTATCATTATAATGAATGTATATACCATCTAGCTTTCAAATATTTAAGATTAAGGTTAGATCTTATACTTACTTAAAGATACTACCTTTGATATACATAAGTTTTCAGATTGAACACACGATATTAGTTTAAAGCTTAGTTTTTTGACCATACTATGCTGTAAATTTTTAACAGCGAAAGCTTATCAGAAAATCAAAATCAATTCCGTCTATTACAAATAAATAATTAAAAAATAGGCCTAAAATAGCTCTATTTCGAAACTCTGGAATAACCAATAAATAGCTGTGCGCACTGATTTTGTGAGTTACTGTTATCATTTATTTCTGGCATCCCGCCTTTTTTGATATCAGCTGCTCAAAATTCCTTGAGATGAGAGAGTCTGGCATCATGTGATCCTTGACAATAAAGGGTCAGTTTTTCCTGGATGACATTATGCGAGACTATGCAACGGGACTATTTAATAACCATTTAATTTTTAAATCCCACAGCCTATTTTTGTTTCCCATACATGTGTTAAGCAAGCAAAAAAAGATTGTGCACACAGTAAAGGTTAGATTATGTTAGTATAGATGGCTGATCCCTCGGTATGGCGGGGAGCACACTTAGATTGTTATGTACAGTCCTTTGTGAAGCCAGATGAAGAACTCCTGTAGTTGGATATCAGTTATCGGTAAAGCGCTCTGAACCTATAACAAGTCTGATTTTCCACTTCCACTATTTCACCTGGATGTCTAAAAGTATGAGATCCGAAGTATTTTAATCTTAATTTGGCAAAGACGGAAGATTCGAGGAGGAAGTGTTGAGATGAATTTATCTGATCTTCTTCCAAGCAGCTGACGCAACTGGCATCCGGTAAATTTTTCAATCTTACCGCAATTTCGGATTCCGATCGAACAGTGTCCAGTTAGAATTCCTACAGCTATTGAAAGTGCGAAGAGTTCACTAGACCTCTTGCGATTTACCCTGGGCTAGAAGGATCCTGCGACAGCACAGCTGCTAATAGTTGACCAACGCTTGATGAGCTGGTCTGAGGCCCAACAATCCAGTAGTGAATCGCAAGAAGCTAACGGAGCTCCTTCCCGTACAGTAAAATACAATTATTATATTAGGATAAGTTAACGGTACCATTTTGGGAATCGCCAATCAATGTAAACAATCGTCTTTATTGAAAGGAAACAATCCTTTGCATCTTTGCAATGAGTGGCCATTCTCAAAATAGTACCATTACAAATTTGATTTTTTATGTATTTGCAACTTTATTAGATATAGGCTCAACAGCTCATTCAGCATTTAAGCTCCTATTAAACATTCGAAATAACCCAGATGCAGTTTGCAACATAAAAAAAAACAATCGGTCATGCCACAGTGCTAAAACAGAGTGTAAAATTATCATTTGTGATGAATGCACTATGGCACACAAACGTTCGTTTGAGGTATTGGATAGGATATTGAAAGATAAAAAAAAAACAACAACCATTTGATGGAACTCTGTTACTCCTTTCAGGTGATTTCAGATAGACACCTCCCGTTATTTCACGTTCAACGCACGCCGATGAAATCAACGCTAGCTTAAAATCATCGCGACTATGGCGTAATGGTTAAAAAGTACCTCTGACAGTAAATATGCGCGTTCATATGGTTAAAGATTAATCTGCCGAAACTTTCTTAAAACAACTGTTAGATATGGCAATGAAGAAGTTGCTGTACATGAAAATATTGAATGCATAAAATTACCGACGGATTTTTGCACAATCATCAACTCATAAAATACTCGCACTCGACCTCCAATTAGATTTACATTCACAATGATAATCAATAAGACACAAGGCCAAGAGTTGTCTGTTCGTAGCTCATAATTGAGTACATCATGCTTTTTCCACTTACTTGTACAACTTTATGTGGCATGTTCTGGTGTGGCCAAGCTATCTAGTCTGTTTCTACTCAGTAAACATTATTGTTTATTTTAAGTTAACAAAGTTAGGTAAATATTTTACTCGTCTACAATTCTTGATTCCTCTTTCAATTATAATTACATCCCCCACACACTTATAGTGTTAATTTTTTAAAAAATATTTAATAAAAATAACATATGTGGCAAAACAACGTTTGCCGGGTCAGCTAGTTTATTTATGGGTGGCAGATACTAATGATGCGAAGAGCGAACAAATGTGCCTCAGGAGTTATATATCAATGGATATTTTTCCAAATCTGTAGCCAATAAGTTCCCCCTTGTCTCAGTAGGAAATGTAGAAGTCAGTAACACTTTAGTACAAAGTGTAACCGACTCCCTTTATAAAAAAGAGATTGGAGTCATAAAATTATGTTTGTTTGCTTGCACTATTTTATAAGTTAATTGAAATATGCAACAATGTTATTTATAAAAGCTTCAAAATAATGATGTTAGCATTAAAAAATCCCTGATAGCGCCAAGTGACCTTACCGCTTCGTAACATATTTGGATAAAGTCAATTGCTGCTTTCAAGGGATCTTCAACGTGTAAGTTACGTGAGATAATATTCAATAATCAACCTTTATTCATATCAATACTGAAATAACAATTTACGAATGTAAAAGTACTCTTAAAGCTTTTATTTCGAAGCGTTTAAGCAGGAAAGCGATTTAACTTTTATCTTTTTTTTTCCTTCACTTAAGAGAAAAATCTTCCTTTATTATTTATTTACTTATTTATTTATTTAAACGCCGATCGGCAATATACATCGATACAATAAAGAATTAAAGTATTATAAAAAAGTAGCTAGGGTATATTAGTGTAATATCTGGAAAATATTTAAATAATTGTAAGTTAATATGTAATTCAGACTTGATTTAGATGTAATTCAGACGAGCAGGTGTCTCTTGGTGTTTTCGGTAAAAGCAGCGTATGTTCCTCCATAGAAATCAATTTCACCTTGAAGAAAATGTACTAAATTAGCCAGTCTATTCTGAGGACCATGGATAACATAATTTTTCTTGGATTTCGATGTTTTTAGTCATATATTTCGCCTCAGGGTAAGACCAGCAGGGGCGAGCTCAAAATTGTTTAGGATCTCATGAGCATCAGTGATGTTATTGACTACTTTGTAGAAAAAGCAGAGGTCAGCGACCTGTCGACGAGAAGACAGTTTGTTTATACAGTAGCACTGGTAGACCTCATCAGTAGAGCAGATGTGACTTGGTGAAGATAGTTTATAGGCCAGTGACTTACAGAATTTACGCTGCACCTTTTCAACTTTATCGATTGTCGTGTTAGTGTAGGGAGACCAGATTACCGAACCATATTCTAAAATTGGTAGTACAAGTGACTTGAATAGTCTAATGAGTGTCCAAGGTAATATCTTTACGGTAAATACTATATGTTGAATCAATGACTTCACCATTACATATGGATGAGTGAAGCCAGGATTCCGAAATACATACAACGTCGTACTGGTTAGCCGCTAATGCGGTTTGAAATGTTGAGAGTTTTGTACGCAGACCTCTGACGTTCTGGTAGCACAGGTGGACGTAAGATACTTTCTTCTTGCTCGTTGAGCGGACGAAAATTTCTTTTAACGATTCTTGGGACACCATGGATATATTTAATTGTGTTACTGTCATCACCAGTCTTCACGATTGAATCAAGCTCTTGACGCAAATTTTTCAGATGAAGTTGTTGAGAGGGAGTTAGATCAGTCTTGAAAATAAAACCTGAGTTTTCGTCTGTTGGTCTGTATTTGATAATGGAAAGTGCATCGGCTGCTGAGCGGGTGGTAATGTGAAGAGGACGTGTACGTACAGGTGTAGGACGACCCAGTCTACGTAGCTTGAGTTCAGTGGCCTCATCCTTGAGACTGGGAGGCAAAGCTGTGACTAACTTTGTTCTGTCATCCTCTAAACGGTCCTTTCCAGCAGCTTTATCAGACTCAGGAATATTTAGGGCAATCACGTTGGTTTCACGGCGTTTTCGTTCCGACAGTTCAGTGAAAAACTCTTCCTGGCTGGTAGGCAGCCTCATATCTACGTTTAGCTTGCCTTCAACTGATGTAAGTCTGTCATCCAGGGCAGAACATTGATTTGATAGGGAGACGTTTTGTTTTGACAGTATGCTTACCTCTTTTCTTAAGTCCTTGATTTCACTTACAACTGATTTTTTTAGGTCCCTGAACTCACGTTCATAATTTGTTGTAAAACGTTCAAAGTGTCTCTTGAGTAAGGTTTCAATATCCTTTGACGGTGGCGGATCATCTGATGCCTCCTCATCGGAATCCAATACATCACATGTCTTGACACTAATGTCACTTGCACATGAGTCACAGTTCCAAACTGTTTCTTTTTTCTTAATGCTGTTGGCGATGGATTTAAACTCATCGGATGAAAGGTTGGTGCACTTTGAGTGAACCCAACGTCAACGAGCCGCACATTGAATACTTGGCTGCGTTTTATCCCGGATTATGTCTGAGCAATAACCACAAATCTGTTGTGTTGTATTTACTTTTTTGGGTGGCATTTTGTAAGTACACGATACAGGAGAAAAGATATGTTCCAAATAATTCCGGAGTAATTTTTTATTTTCGTGTATTATCAATGCATTCATTCACTCTATGATGTCTAATTCACAATCAATGTTAATGTTTGTTATGCTTTTTATTATTACACCTCACAATATTACGTCGCACACACCTTTCTTTGTTGTACGAAATTCAATTATGGTTCAATATCAAAATTTAATCGAACTTTTCTTTGCACATCCTTTATATTTTCTTATAAGAATTATTATTTTCTTTTAAGGAAACTTATATGAGGCATTAATTTAAAATTCTTTCACTTTTATGTATACGATTGGTGTAATATTTTCAGATATTACAGAGCACTTTTCACTATGCACACTGCACATGTTTACAGCTACTTCAACATATATTAACTAACTACTTTCTTTTTTTACCGTTAACAGATATGAAGGATAGTGATCTTTTCTATTGTCCAATATAAAAATGAAAACCAATTTTAAGGTAACAAAGTATGATGCTCGAATTAGTGGCCGACGGCCGCCCTTCCGTACTTACCGTCCGTATGCAACGACATTTGTCAGAGTGTATGCCCGTAGTGACAACGTAAAAATCAGTATTTATTTTTAATTCACATTTGGGCAATGTTGCCATCTCAATAAATAAATGTATTTTTTAAATATTACCCAAATATTTTTCCGTAACATTACTCAATTTATTTCACTAAAACTTTTATACTATAAACTAATAAATAAAATCTATTTCACGAATTATAAAAGAGTTTATGTTTACAATTTACACGCTTTTTAACAGTTTTTTGTTTATGTTTTTACGGATATCCCACGTTAAGGACGGTAAAAGCGGTGGTGGGTGTTTATTTACATTGCGCTCTCATAAGATAGGCAATGATGACATGATGCGAAACTCCCTCAATTTCCCTAATTTTTCTCTCATTTCCTTTTCCCTTATTATAAACATTAGGGAGCTAAAAGTTGCTTACACAAGCAGTGCGAAACGAAATTTCAAGGAACGATGCATATACTTTAACATAACGTGCAACTTTACTTTTTTTGCTATTCTTTGTTATAAATGCTAAGTATTTGCATTTAAAACGTTAGTTGTATTGTTTCTTTGGTATATTATTCTTTATATATATATTATTTTTATTATGTTATAGGATTTTTCAAATGTTTACAAAATTAATACACGTATAAAATAATATCGAACTGCAAAATACCCAAAAGTTGTTTTTAATATACCCAATCCATTTTCTTTCGACCGCGGCATGATTGACAAATATTATATAAAATATGGCTTGTGACAGCTCTTTCTCGAATCAAAGAGTTTCGTATCATGTCATTCTTCAGGTAGGTCGTATCAGCTGATACGGTATACGGTTTTGCGTTTTTCACTATATGAAGCATTACTTTGCCGGGTTAGTTCACTTAACGTATAGTGTTTACAAAATAAATCTTGCTAAATTCTCCGCATGACAGCTTAACTAATTTAATTGTGTATCATTTCCATTTTTCATTTACCATAAAAGATTTTGGTTAATAATTTTTGAGAGAACAAATTTAGATTATTTTTCATTAATTTCACACACTTCCATAGTCGAGAGTTCTTCGCTGTTTTCAATGATTATCTTCAACTCTTATGCTGCAATTAGATATATCCTTATACACGTTCCATATATATACATAGATAGCGATGCAGGATGCCGATCCATATCAGAAAATATTTAAATATTTTGAAATCCGGATCGCGCATTCTAAATCGCTCGATCAATATAGAACATTTATCACATTTGGTAAATACATTTTTCGCAATGGTTCCTAGTGTTTTTTCTAAAATGCCAATGTTTAAATTTTTTCTTCATTCACAAAAACGCTTTTTTCGGTGTTCTAGCGACGTTTTATAAAAAAACGAACGGAAATTCAAACAAATAATAAACCTTAATCAGTTTTGTTTAATTTTTATTTCAAAAATACAATTTATTTCGAATATATGTTGGCGCGCTAAATATTAAACGTATACGTTCACTCGCGATCCTCAACTCTCAATATGGATCACGATCCAAGTATCAAAAAAGATTAATAAATTATAGTAAAATAGCAAATTAATTAAAAATATGCCTGTGATTTTATTAGTTTGAAACCAGTTGGTTTTTATATTATCATTATTTTGTAATTGTAATGAGTTCTTGTACTTTTTACCATGTTATTTTTCAAGCGAATATTTTATTCAGATAAGCGCCTGTCACGCGTTTTAAAAAACTACAAAATTTACACAGCTAACAAATATTACGAGAAACACTCTGCGCACTATAGTAAACTTTGAAACACGTGACACTTATATACAAGTTTTATCCTTTCATATACACGTATTAAATAACACTTTATTCGAGCTAACTTCCGTGGAATGACCGCAACCCTTTCAAATCAAAAAAAGTAATAATAATAAAACTATCTAACAGCCCCAGCCTAACAGCACAATTACAGCTGAGGTTTTAAGCGTTGGCCTTCTTATTGAAATTGCGATTTGTTTATATTCTTGTTATTATATAAGCAATTATGTTTGTTTATAAATATATAATTGAAAATGAATATGAATCTTGTCCTAAAAGCACAGGCCCAGGCCGTTTCGGATTGATTACAAATGTTTCAAAAACATATGCACATACATTTATTATATTATACCTACAATATACAGTGGAGAGCAATACTGGTCGGATGTTTGTTCAAATTCAAAGTAAGATGCCACAAAAAAGTCAATAATTATTCAATTTGCTCGAAATTTTTAAATGTATGTTTACTTCTTTGAATGTAAAGTAAATCCAAAAATTAAAAAAGGCAACATAAACTAATAATATCATACGAAAGCCGAACGAAACTCATGCATCCAGCACGCCAACCTTAGTACATTTTGATATTTGATTTACCGTTATTTTTCGGAAGAAGACAACGAGTTTTTAGTTTATTTTGGCATTTTTAAGTATCGCACTAAAAAGTGCAGTTCGTACATTGTCAATTTAATTGTGTCGTGTTTTACAAGAATTGAGTTCTGGAAAAATTAGGAAAATCTCACAAAGTTTGGAAAACCGTATCGGTTTTATATATTATATTAAACCAAACAACAGCCAGAGAAACAGCAAAACTAACCGGTGTTAGTAACACAACAGTCATATTAATACAGAAAAGGAATAATTTGGCGTTTTCGGGCAACTCTTGTGGTGGACCATTGATATTGAATGACAATGATGCTTGTCATATGGAACGGTTGATTTGTTAAAACTCTTAATTAACCCCAATAGTGGACAGCCAAAAGAGCATTGAAAAAATTTGGGGTAGACGTATCTTTTGAGCTATAGCTGTCAAAAAAAAGCATTGCAGCACGAGTTCAGTTCCGCTGAGAAAGTAATAATATGTCAGGTAAGGACTGAAAACATGTTATAGAACATTCGTTTCTTTTCTGATGGTAAGTCTTATTATTGGAATCGTGGTGGCAATGGTATAATAGTGTGGGCATGCTTCACTTAGTGGACAATTTTTGGCAATGCTCTTCTGGCTACTTGCTGTCAGGCTTGTTACCCTTAAATGCACCTGTGAAGGGTATTATACCTTAGCCTTAGTTTAGTTAGCGTTTTTCTTGTTTTTATATTTATTATGTGTTCTATATAAAAATGGTGTCATATGGGAAGTAGCAATGGTTGATGCTAGGTTTCATGCACGTTGGAATTGTACACGTAAATCCACGGTTTGTTATATTTTAAGCATTATCTACCGCACTTTTAGTATTTTTATTTTCATTACTATATAATTTCATCAATTTCCATGACTTATCTGATGAAAAGGTAAAAACCAATGTATCGGCTAAGTGTGACTAACATCGATTTAGTAGTTTACGAGAAATATAATTTCTATTCATTAAAACACGGCACAGACAATTTTCAAAACTTTTTACAGATTTGCGAAGACATTGAGACACTTTCAGGATTTGCAAACAATCGTTAGATGATTAAGACTATTTTACTCCATGCATATACTTGTGATTGTGTGAAAAGTTTTTTTTTTTGTTTAAGGGGAATAAAATTTAAAACCATGCTTATTTGGATAACTATCGTTACTTTATGACTTCACATCTGTCGAATGAACTATAAGAAGGAATGTAATGATACTTATATGTTTGTTCTTACTCTAGCACTTCTCTTATTCGGAAGCATTCGGTTACAAACGGTACAAATTGAGCCCTGCACACTTTATTGATTCAGTTGATAAATAAATTAAACAGTTATCCGCTAAGTTTCAGTTCTCTAGTTTCATCAACATGAATCAAGTGAGCTTCGAGAAAAACTTCCCATTGGAAAGAATGCGATGTGTGGTTATTGCTTTATATATATGTATGTATGTATGCATACATGCATCTATACTAATATTATAATTGTGAAGGCTGTTACGCTAAAACCACTTAACCACTTAACCACTCATCATGAAAATTAGTACAAATGGTATTAGAAAGGACATAGCATACCTATTTAAAAATAATAATATTTTTAATGGATTGAGAAAAAATTTCTTTTGGCAGATCTGATTGTTTGTAAACATATTTGAAAATTAGAAAAATTAAAAATATTATTGTTGTAGTTGAAAAATTTTAAAATTAATCAAAACAAAAATTGCTATGAAATCATAAATTGAATCTATCCAGAAGTTCATCAAGGGCCCATGCAGCAATCAAAAAAGGAAGCGATCAGGCGATCTTCAAACTGCGTAATGAAGGTACTGTACAGCTCCTAAATGAAATACAAACATATTAAGCAGGAAGGTACATACATAGGTATGTATGTCAGTAGCAATAAAGCAGCGTGGCGGCTGCTTGAATTTTCATTGAAAGATATCCAACTTTTATACATCTTGCAGTACATTTAGAAAACGGGCTGTGTGTTTATTTTACTAAGAATACATTTTAAGAAAGGATTTAATGTCCTGCAAAAACCACATTCACTGTAATTAACAAAGTTTGCCAGAACGATCTTTTTGCAAGGACTTTATGGTATATGTATTCCGTTATTATACATGGAACATATCAAAAAAGAATGGCATAATCGTGTTCTGGCTATAACTGTTAAAAATCATTTTGGGATTAAAGCATCGAACGCTCTTGGTCGTGTACATGTTAAAAATTTTATATTGTGTTATAAAACCAACAGAATGTTTCAAGAATTTAATCCACAGAGTG